TCTTGCGAGTGCGTGCGGGTTCGCCGGGGCCGCGCCTGGCGCCCCTGCCTCTGAAAGGTGCATTTGTTTCTTGAGGGGGATTTTTTTTTCGTGTTGAAGCGAATATGGATTCAGTTATTTTTGGTGCTGATGAAATTAAAGTGGAGAAAAGGCGGTCGTGTGTGTCGACCAACGGGAGTCACGAGCTGACGTGGCCGCTGGGGTAGCAGTGCAGGCGGTGAGCCGTTCCGAGCCCTCTCTCTCGGGGCGTCGGGCCGGCGCCGGCGCGGACGCGGGGCGGGAGAGCGAAGAGGGCCGAGGGGGCGCGCCGGCGGCGGCTCACGCGCCTGCGCTGTGCTGGTTTCCAGCGTGTTCGCCGGCTGCCAGATCCCCTACCCGAAGCGCGAGTTCCTCACCGAGGACGAGCCCGAGGACAAAGGCGACAAGGTAGGCGCTGCGCGGCCCCGGTGGCTCCGGGGCGGGCCCCTTCCCGCCCGGCTCTGCTCCTCCGAGTCGTGTCTCGGAGGACTTCCCGCACCGTTAGTGGGCGCAGACCTGCTTCCCTGCCGTGCGCCTCGTGAACCGTGGGGCCGATCCCGAGGCTGCTGTGCAACCCGAGGGGCCGGCAGAGCGCGTCCTGTCCGGGCTCAGCGCGCTGGTTTGAGGACCGGTGGTCTCCGGCGCCCGTTTTCCCGTCGCTGCAGTCGTGCGGTTGCTGCGCGGGTCGGCCTCGGCCGGTCGGCGGTCCCGCGCGCACTCAGGTGACGCACGAAATTGCACATCGCGTTGGTTTTGTACCAGGCTTGCCTCGTTTCTTGCCCACACAGAATCAGCAGCAGCAGCAGAACCAGCACCAGCAGCCCACAGCCCCTGCACCGCAGGCAGCGGCCCCTCCGCAGGCGCCCCCTCCACCGCAGAGCGGCACCCAGACCAACGGGACCGCAGGGGGCGTGGCCGCCGGCGTGGGGGGCGCCGCGGCGGGGCTGCAGCACAGCCAGGACTCCGGCCTGAGTCAGGTGCCTCCCAGCAAGAAGCCGCGGCTCGGGCCCTCGGGTGCAAGCTCGGGCGCGCCTGTCATGCCCTCCGACTATCAGGTGCGCCCTTGCGTTCCTCCTCCTCAGTGCGCACGTGTCTCGTGCGGTGGGAAGTAGACTTCTAACAGGTCCTAGAGTTCAGTAGTGGGGATTGAACCAAGGCCTTCATACAGAGCTGTGTTCCCAGGCTTTTTTATTTTTTGAGACAGGGTCTCATTGAGTCAATAAAATGTCCAGGCAAGGGTCTCACTGTGTATCTCAGGCTGGCCTCGAACTCACAGTGATCCTGATGCCTCAGCCTCCTGAGTATTGAGATTACAGCCATCCGTTACCATGCCCAGCTTGGGCTAGGGTCAAACTTAGGATCCTTCTGCCTCATCCTCGTAGAGTGCTGGGAATACAGGTGTATACTACCAGGCCTGGCTTAGAATTAAGTAGTTCTTAACACTAACATTTTGATGTGCAAATTATGCAGTTCTGTTTCTAGGGCATTCTATGAAAATGAAGATCGTTATTTCATGAAATTTCAAGTTATTTTGTACGCTGATTTGTTTGTCATACTCTGGGGAGAAAAAATAACAATGTAGGTATCTCATTTCTTAAAGAAAATGTCATTATTTTTCCCATATAGGTGCCTGTCAACTGTGGATCGGAAAAGGATACCTACATGAGCGTTGAAAAGGGAAGGGGTGGGGGTGAGGTGGCGCACACCTGTCTTCCTACTACTCTGGGAGGCTGAGGCAGGAAGATCGCAAGTTTAAGCCTAGTTTGGGCTTAGCAAGTCCCTTTCTCAAACTTAAAGAAAGACTGGGAATGTAGCTCAGTATGAAGGCTGTGGTTTCTATGACTAGTATGACAAAAACAAACAACACAGACAGAAAGGAAAGAAAAATCCAAGAAAAAGGGAGTGGCAGCTTATTTTGGTGAAAATTAATTGCATTCTTCAGACATACTTGCATTTACTGGGAGGGAATACTCTTTAAGTATTTCGGAAAGAAACAGACTGAGACTTTTTAGAAATAACTATTAAGTCCCACTAGAAATTTTTTGGACACTAGAGAATACTTTTTGTTATTAAGATATAAAGAAAACTACAGTTGTACTCCTAATTTAGAAAATTAAAAGAAAAGTGTATAAGGATTGGTATTTGGAGATAAGTAAAATTACCTGTCATAAGCCAGAAGTGGTAGTGCACACCTGGTGAACCCATGGCACTTGACGGGCTGCAGCAGAAGGGTCACTAAGTTCCAGCCCGGCCTGAGCTACATAGTGAGTTCAAGGCCTGCCTGGGCTACATAGTGAGACTTGGCCTCAAAAACAAACAGATAAGCAAACCAAAAATACCTGTTGTGTTAACCTTAGAGAATCTTGCAAAACAAAAAATAATTTTTTTTTCAACAAGCTAAGAAAAGACCTAGGAAGAAGAGAAAGCTTAAATAAAACATTAAATAAAAAGAAGAAAGCTGTAGAACATAGCCTTCAGGATATTAGAAGAAGCATTTAGGACAGAGCTAATAGAAAACAAAATCTCTGGCAAGGGAGTCATAAACTCAGTGATAAGGAACTGGAATAAAGAGAAACATTGGCAAGCAAGACAGTGAATAGCAGCCTAAGCTTGCTTTACATTTTGAGTATCTCAGCAAACAAATGTGTTTTCACACAGTTACTTCTCTGAGAAGTTCTCATCACAGGTTCTTGGTCTTCAGAAAGGCGTGTCATACTTCCCTTTGGTTCCAATTAAGTCAGTCCAACTATCTGTTTGAACTACTAAAAACGTGCTATGTGGGTAGTAGTCAGGAACATATTTGAATTCTGTTATAAATTTTGTTTTGAAAAATGTTTTCCCCAAAACTTCAGTTTATCCCTATGATATGAGCAACAGATGTTTGCTGTATATTGTTCCATCTCTGTATTTCAGATTGTATTATTTCAACCTTTGTTACACAAAAATCGTTAAAGGTTGTAAGGCAGTTGGTCATTATGGCACACACGTCTAATCCCAGCTACTTGGGAGGCTGAGACAGAAGGATCGAAGGTTTGAGCCCAGTCTGGGCAATTTAGGACTTCTCAAGACCCTGCCTCAAAATAAAGAGAGGGCTAAGGATGTAGTTGAGTGCATAAAGGACCTGGATTTTGTTCCCAGGACTGGGGGAAATAAAGGTTTTTCTCATGGTGGCCCATGCCTATAACACCAGGTCCTCAGAAGGCTAAGGCAGGAAGATTGCAAGTTCCAGGCCAGCCTGGACAATTTAGTGAGGACCCCCCCCATCTCAAAATCAAAAAGGCTGGAGGAATAGCTCGGTAGAGCACTTTGGGCTTTGACCCCTTCAGTCCCACAGAAAAATTAAATGAAATGAGCAGAATTTATTCAAGGGGAGTTATCACAGTAGTTACAGAGATGACTGCTTCAAGGTCTTGTGGTGGGGGAGAGAAATTGGACTGAACGCCAACATGACAGACGGAGGAGCACTGTAGGAGTCAGTGAAAGGAGAACTACTAAGAGGAAACATCAAGGCTAAAGTGTTCTGACTCAGGTGTTAGTGCTGAAGGCAGGTCAGGGAGATAAATTACCAAGGATAAGGGATTTTTGCTAACAACTTGACAGGATTCTTGCGCTAATAGGATTCAGCAAAGACAAAGAGGGACAGCTTGAGTTGGGCTTAGTCAAAAGGAGACTGAAAGGAGCCTAAGTGAAATTTTAGTTGAAGAATATCTTGTCAGCTGGCTAGAGACAGTTCTAGGCAGATTACTATATTTCCTCCTGAGCCGTGTTGTTGTTTTGTTGGTCTTTTGAGACGCGGTCTTGCTATGTAGCCTAGGTTACCTCAAACTCTGGATCCTCTTGCTTTAGCCTCCCATTGCTAGCATCACAGGTGTGACCAAATGCCCAGCCTACTGTACTTGTTCTGTGTGTGAGGAACAACTGTTGGCTGAGTGTAGTACACTAACCTGAAAGTACATAATCACAGCTATTGATCTTTTGCAAAAGGGAAGAGGGGTCTGGGAGATGGACGGAGAGGTGAGGGAGGAGAGGGAAAGGGATGAAAAACAGAATTAGGATGTGTTATGTGCAGGTGCGAACTCGCCACGATTAGTATAATCAGTGTGTACTGCAAACATGCACTAGCAAAAAATTTTTCAAATAAAAAATTTTAAAAATTAAAGCAATCATAGCTAGGCAACCAGTTGTAGGGCATTAATTTGTTGGGGTTTTTTTGTTGTGGTGGTGATGATGGTAATACTGTTACTGTACCCTACTCCACCTTCCCTGGCTTTGTCGTGTAGGTAGGACTGCTGATGCCCCTAGCTTCTACCTCTGAAAGCATTTTGCTGTAAAATAATTGCTTCTTAGTTACAACTTTATGATGAGAGAATTAACAGTATGTTACTGTACCCTGTAAATACCACTGACTGCCATATGCCTATTTGATCATTCTTGTTTGCAGATCTCAAGCAGAGAATGAAACGGCACCCAGACTGAGTCTGTGAAGGGCAGTGGGGTCAGCAAACGAGTTTCCCGTCTGCTCTTCTTTGTGCAGGAGTAGCTTATCTGCCCGCGCAGTGCAGCCAGCTCCAGGCCTGCCGGAGCGTGTGGCTACAGTGCTGGCAGGCTGTGATTTCAGAGGAGCAAATGTATTCATAAGCTGACTTTCAGCTACTGTGGCTCTGAACTAGGAGCCTAGGGATACAAATGCTTTATCCAGTAATCTCCTTTTCCTGTTTCCTTCCAGCACTCTAGTTCTCGCCTGAATTACCAAAGCAGCGTTCAGGGATCCTCTCAGTCCCAGAGCACCCTAGGCTACTCCTCGTCGTCTCAGCAGAGTGCGCAGTACCACCCATCTCACCAGGCCCACCGGTACTGATCCACAGCCCTCCGCTTGGCCCCGGCCAGCCCAGAGCACGGACCTCAGCAATATGATGTCTGCACTGCAGAGAACCCCAAAGTGCAAACTGTGATGCCATTTAAAACTCACACATTTGGGAGGAGAACCTTGCATACTGAGCATTTGGCAGGACTGACATCTCTTCTTCATGGACTTAAAGAAGTTTTCGTGAAGTTTCCCAATTTCCCTGTCCCGCATGTGTTCCATTGTGACTTCTCTGATAAAGTGTCTGATCTAATCCCAGCACTTCTGTGCCCTTCAGCATTTTGTGAAGGATTTCCTGGTGCACCTTTCTCATGCTGTAGCAATCACTATGATTTATCTTTTGAAAGCTCTTTTAACAGGATTTTAATGTTTTAGAAACAGGACTCCAGTGGTGTATAGTTTTATACTTCATGAACTGACTTAGCAACACAGGTAAAAGTGAATCTTTTTAAAGCACTGCACAGTTTTCACAGACTATAACTGTTTTGCTCATGGAAATCTTAAACAGAAGCTGTTACTGTCCCGAAGTACTTTACTATTATGTTTATTTATCTAGTTTCAGGGAAGGTCTAGTAAAAGACAAGAGGTGGGACAGAGGCAACCTACAACCAAAACCAGCCTAGATCTCTGCAGTTACTGTGCTTTATGCTATGAAGAATGAAGTATGTGATTTTATATAACCATTTGTACGGAACTTAGTTCCTCGAATCATTGTATTCTGAATAGTATTCAGTAATTAGGAATTATAGTTTTAACCTACATGTAGCTAAGTTTACCTTAAAAAGGGTTTCAAGAGCTTTGATGAAATACAGTCCTGGTGACCCACACCAGAAAGCTGGAGAGAATATTAACTGCACTAGGATTTCTTTAAGGAGTAATGTTTATCAAAGGAGGTATTACTTCCCCTTGAAGGAAAGGTTTTTAGTGTATTGTGTGTAAAATCGGCTTCTCTAAAGAAACTGTTGCTTTGTTCAGTTTCTGTACAGCTGAGTCGAAGTAACTTTCTTACATAATCAAGAGTACTCAAATAGAAGCCTGCAAATTCATATGCTTTTAAAATAAAGAGCAGTGTTCTCTGTTTGTACTTGCATTAGGCATAGACTATTTTTAAAGCATGTTAAAAATTTAGGTTTTATACATGTTTAAAGTATGTATTATGTATTATGCATAATTTCGCTGTTGTTACTGAAACTTACTGCTATCAAGAATCTTTTCATTGCACTGAATGCTTTCTTTTGCCCCTAGGAGAAAACTTAATAATTGTGCCTAAAAAACTATGGGCAGATAGTGTAAGGCTATCCCAGATAAGGTGAATACTTGCATTGCCATTATCTATGAATTTGAGGCTGAGTTCTTTCTCAGCCACTGTAAGTAGCACCTCACTCCCCAGAGTCAAAAGGAATCGTAAAGATTTAGAGCTCGCGTTGCAATGTAGGGGGCAAAAATTTTGTGTTCTTCTAAATGCTACTAGCAGCACCAGCCTTGTTTTAATGTTTTCTTGAACTAGAAGAAATAGCTGATTATTGTATATGCAAATTATATGCATTTTTAAACTATTCTTTGTGAACTTATCTACCTGGTTATGATACTCTGGGTCCATATACAAGTAAAATAAGATTTAAGACAGAAGCCAGTATACATTTTGCACTATTGATGTGATACTGAAGCCAGCCAGGACCTTACTGATCTCAGCATAATAATGCTTAATGATGATAATAAGGCTCTAGTGACACTCATCAAGACTAAAGATGAAGCAGTTGATGTGCTCCATTGGAAGGAATTTCTGATCCTCTCCATGGTATTTAACCCCTTTTGTTCTTTAAGAAATTAAGCCTCCTTGCATGATGTAGTCACCTGTACAAAGTTCTGTCCTATGCCCTGAAGCCTTGTCCAGAACTGGTGGGCAGCAGGTGCCAACTGCACCCTCACCATGTGCCCAGTGCTCTGCTGGCTGGAAAATGCAAAGGGCAGGACATACTTTGTGTCTTTGGGGAGCCTATTGTCACTTCAGTGACAGCAAGCTTTCCTGGGAAGTCTGCTGTGTGTTTGACTTACAATAACACAAAGGTCCTTTTGTTTACTTCTCAATCCACTTGGACAGTTACTCTTCCGAATTCTATAGTAAACAGTGTTATAGAAAGGTTTCTGTGTCTGTCTATGGTAGGAGAAAGCCAGTGACTTAAGTGTCACAAAAGGCATTCCTGTATATTTGAAATATTCACAGCAGCCTTGGACAGCTGGGCGGCCCTGGTGGGCAGAGCACTCTCTGTGAAGTGGTTGTAGGAAAGTACAGTTAAAACATAAGCTCTGTTCTCAATGTGAGGGAAGCTTACATTTAATAAAAGAAGAAACCCCAAATATGTATATAAGCCGAGATACCGGGCCCCTTAATACTTTATAAGTAATTTTGATATGTGATTCTTAGATTACGTGTTTATACATTGACAGAACTACCCTGCTTTCCTTGTACATAATGAACTTTACTGGTAGAACTGACACAAACCACAGGGGGTTGTCAGTTGCTCCCAGTACACAGTATTCTCCGGGACATAGCCAGCGGCCCCCATTACATAGACGACTGGGTTTCTTATCACTGCACTGTTTCTGCCCCTTTTCTCCTCTTCTTGCCTCAGGGTTGGTGATGCCTACTGTTGCCCATTACACTTTGAAGTGATTTTGGTTAGTAATTTCCTTTTTCTATAAAGGGGAACAAAGCTTTCCACACATAAGGGCCCAGGACTACGGGACCTCCAAGGAGACCTGTAAAGCTTTCTGAAGGCCAAATTCATCATTGTGGTCCCCAGATGACTACATTCCCTTTGACAGTCTGATGTTATGCTACGTCCCCAAGGGTGCAGGGGGCACCTCCCTCAGCGTGTGGGAGCACCTGGACCAGGGGAAGTATTGAAAGAAGGAATGAAGCCAAGGGAAGGTTTTCTGCTCTTGATTTTACAGATCTATGTAGGTTAGCTTGCTAGCGAGGTGTGTGTTTGGGAAAAGGGACCCAGGAGTACGGAACGGATGAAATAAGGTAGCTTGGTGGCAGGGCTGATCCTGTGAGGCTGAACAATCCTTGTAGTGGAGTAGATCGTGCAGTGAGGTGCAAAAACCAAGGGTGTGTATATTTTTATACCTGTGTGGTTTGAAACTTTAGTACTTAGAATGTTGGCCTTCTGTACTACCCTTTTGCTCTTAGTTTACTCTCAAGAATGGGAAAGGACAGCATGTGTGTACGTGTTCACTGCTTCATTCCTGGTGAAGCAGCTGCTGGTTGTTCTCTGTGCCTCTGAAACGATGCTCTTTTCTCTGATAAAGGTAAGAGAGAAAATGTAGTTGGAGAGCAAGACTTGGAACTTGATCTGCTCTTGAATAGCAGAAACTGTACAATGAAGGATGAATTCTATGAAAGTTGCAAATCTTAAACTCTGTGGTGTATCTTCCTAGGGGATAGAGAAATGCAGTGGCAAGTCCATTAGGTTAACAGAGACTTGAAGGAGTCAAGTACAAGGCATATTTTATATACAGTATAGCAGTTTATGTCTCCATAATCCTCAAGAATAGTCACAAATATAAGGCAAAGGTCAGTGTTCTAGAATTTTTTTTTTTAAATGTGTTGTACCTAAGGCCATACCTACTCTTCTATGCTATCACTATAAGGGAGTGATACGTATGTATTATATGAAAAAAAATTCTTAATGCACTGTTATCTCCTAAATATTTAGTAAATTAATACTATTTAATTTTTTTAAAGATTTGTCTGTGTAGACACTAAAAGTATTACACAAAATCTGGACAGAAGATGTCCTTTTTAACAACAATTGAAAGTCCTTTTTATATATGTTATGTAGTATATGGTTTCTAAACCTCCTAGTTTGTATTTCTGATAATTCCTGTCTGTGAAGTGTACCTGTCCTTGTCTCTTTTACAGTCATTTTCTGCACGCTGCCCTTTTTGTATGACTATCGATGTGACTAGCTTTCCATGCTCTGCTGCCCTGTGTGTGCTCCAGGCACGCGCCTGTGCACGGCCGCCCCGCGGGTGCAGGAGGAGCTGCCGCTTGCGAGCCCAGCATTTCCTGCTCTTTAGTGTCCTGACATCCTTTTTGAAATGACTGTTAAACTAAAATAAATTAGATTGCATTTATTTTATATTCTTGGTTGAAATAAAATCTAATTGGCTTTGTTTCTGTGTGGTTTTTTTAAATGTACGAAACCTCTTGTATTAAGGGTTAGTGTTAAGATTTTATCTGCCTGCCTAGATTTCCTAATTATACTGATCCTGCAGCAATTGTCTCCCCGTGAACTGCAGTACATTATTCTGTTCGGGGTGGCTAGAATGCCATAAAGCCAGACTTGCAGATAGCTCAGAAGGAAAATTACAGTGTTTTGTTTAAAAAAAGATGTTTACCTCTAAAATAATTTTTTAAATGAAAATTAAAGTGACATTTTAGGAAAAAACAAGCTGTGTTTTGTGGATGGGTTTGGGCTAGGAAGGTCTCCTTTATAGCAGGATTCTGTGGGACCTGGCTGCCCCTCTGTGATTTACCTGATGAGCCTTCTGTGATTATTCTAGTAGTCGAAGGCTTCATGGAGTGGACTGAAAAATGTTTTAGGGACATAGACAAAAAATGGCCATTTCTTTTTAAAGTAGGCACTGCATAAGTGTGTCCAGGTTGGCAGCTTCACTGCTGATACGGGTTGTATATTCAGTACTGTGCTTTTGGTAAGATCTCCTGGAAACAGCTCATTTGCTATTCCAACCAGCCTTCTGGGTAAGAAAGTGGGTGACCGGACAAACCCTTTCCTACTCCTGAGAGAATAGTTGGAAAGTGGATGTCTTCCCCTAGCAGACTGTATATTCTTTGAGGACAGGAGCTGGGCTTTAGTTTTGCATTCCCAACAGCCAGCATGATGTTCGACAGAGCAGAGGTGAACATGGCAAGTCAGCATCACTTTTGTGCACTTGCATAGAATTCCTGGCACACATAATGTGCTGTATTTGTATGTGGACAGGGATGGGCACACTTGTGCCCCATGGTTAATGACACTACTAGACCTAGGCATTACTTTCTTTCTTGCAGTATAGGGGATTGACCCTAGGACCTTGCATGTCCCAGGCAAGTGCTCTGCCTCTGCCCTCCCACCCGTCACATTTTTGTTTGTTTTTTATGGTACTGGGGATGGAAACCATGGCCTTCCCACAGAGCAACATCCCCAGCCCTGTTTATTTTTTATTTTGAGACAAGGCCTAAATTGCCCAGGTTGGGCTAGAACACATGGTCCTCCGACCTTAACCTCCCAGATAGCTGCAGTTATAAGCACTACACTTGGTGTCTTACTTTTTTTTCCCACAAATATTTTTTCCTGTCAATTTTTGTTTTTATTAGTATGTTTATAGTATATAATAACCATATTCCCCACGGGAGTTCATACATGTATGTGACATATCTTGTCTTTTTTAAAATCCCCTTCTCCCCTCCCTCCATTGGTCCCCTTCCCATTTGCAAAAGATCTAGTGCTCTATTTTCTGTTGTCACTTTGTTTTATTTATAGTTTGGATGTCTCATGTAAGGAAAGTTGTGCGATATTTAATCTTGTGCATTGATTTATTTCATGTAAGATGGTCTCAAAGTACATCTATTTTCCTACAAACGTTTCAGCTTTATCCTTTATGACAGAGTGATTCTCTGTTGTGTATAAATACCACATTTCTTGATCCATCTGTTGATGGACATACAGGCTGCTCCCAAGACTTAGCTGTTATGATTGTGCTGCTATACATGGGTAAGCGTGTATCACTGTAGTATGATGTCTTTAACTCTTTCAGAAAGATATCTAGAAGGGGAATAGCTGGGCCAAATGGAATTTCTAATTTTATTTTTTGAGGAATCTCCATAGTGATTTCCATAGCGGTTATACTAGTTTACATTCCCACTAACAAAGAAGGGTTCCTTTTCCCTTCTAGTCTTGACACTATTTATTATTTCATTTCTCTTTTTTTTCCCCTACTCCAATCCTCAGATTTCTTGGTGATGGCCATTTTTTCTGAAGTAGGATGGAATCTCAGTATTATAATTCACATTGCTTTCATAGCCAGTAATGTTGAGCATTGCTTCATGTATTTATTGTCCATTTGTGTTTCTTCTGAGAAGTGTTTTAATTTCAGTTGCCCATATTTTGATTGGGTCTTGTATTGGGGGGGGTCTTAATTTTTTGTTGTTGTTCTTTATATATTCTAGATTTTAGATCTCTGTCCAGGGAATAGCTGGCAGATTTTTTTCTCATTCTCTAGGTTGTCTCTGAATCTTGTCTCCGTTGCTGTGATCACTTTCTTAACCTAGGCTTAGTCCTTGTATTTTGGCTGCAAAGTCACAGAAAAACATCACTCCCAGGGAATCAAGCAGTTAAATGACATGAATGAAAATGGAGTGAAGTTACCATGCTTGCTGTTCTTTAGAAGCTGTCTTTCTTTTGGCTGCCTCAAAATAGGCATTTTTAAGTCCTCACATAACTTCATTTTCTATTTTAGGTAATAGGAAGTCTCCTTAGCACATGAATCTAGTAGAAAATTTATTTTATGCAAATGAGAATGAGGGGAAGAAATGGACATGTTGACTGGAAACAGAGTTTTCTCTTTCAGCACTTCCTTTGCTGTTCAAACATCTTCAAAATGTGCGTAGTTTTCACCCAAAGACGCTGAATTATTGCCTGAATACCTGTGCTCCCTCCAACTATAAATATTTATAATTAGATATAGGGCTTTTACAGAAATAATTAAGGTTAAGTGAAGTTGTAAGGGCAGGCCCTGATCCAGCAGGATTTTGGTCCGCTTAGCTGTGGAGATGAGAGAGAGACTAGAGAGCTCATCCCTTCTTCCCTTTCCCTCAAGGCCAAAGAGCAGCATCTGCAAGCCAGGAAGAGAAACTAGGCCAGAAGCTCCCCCTGCTAGGCCTTGAACTTGTGGTTTCCAGCCTCTGGAACTGAGAAAGTAAAATTCTATTGTTTAAGCCACCCAGTGTGTGGTTTTCTGCTTTCAAGCTAGCAAAGTTAGCCATCCTTGCTTGCTGTGTGACTTCTGTCCTTCCTCTATGAAAGTCAGTTTTCTCTGAACTGATGTGTTGGTATTTTAATTTTCTGTTTTTCAAATGTATTTTTGTTTGTTTATTTTTATTCTGAGACAAGCTCTCACTACGTTGCCCAGGCTGGCCTTGAACTCCTGGGTGATCCTGCTTGGTGTCCTGAGTGATCAGACTCCTGGCATGCGATGGGCAGTGTATGTAACTTTTCTTTTTCTTGTCCAAATGTATGTGCTCATAATTTTAATACGGTGTTGGTTAGGGGTGGTGTGAGTAAACACCTTCCAGTAGCTGATGCCTAGTTTTACCAGCAGATGCTTTCTTTTTTTAGTACTGGGAACTGAACTCAGGACCTTGCACTTGCCAGGCAGTCACTTATGCCACTGAGCTGTATCCCCGGCCAGCACATATGGTTTAAAGGTTTTTCAGATGTCCTTTATGAAATTGAAGTTTCTTTCTATTCCTGTTTTGACAAGAGTTTTAATCATGAGCGGGTACTGAATTTTGTTAAATACCATTTCTACATATGAGACGATCATGATTTTTTTTTTTAAGGCTGCTAGTGTGATTAATTGTATTGATTTTGAATGCTAAAATAACCTTGTTGTCCTGGAGATAAACACAGAAGAGAATGCAGTGAGAAGGAAGCAAAGACTGGAAGGCCGCAAGGAAAACACTGTCAGCAGCTACCAGAAGTTAGAGGGAAGAGAGAGATTCTTGCCTGGAACCTTTGGAGGAAGCCTTGTCCTGTGGACACCTTGGTTTCAGCTATCTCACCTCCTGCACTGCAAGAGAATACATTTCAGTTGTTTTATCACCAAATGTGTGTGGTGCTTTGTTATAGCAACCATAGGAAACTAATAAGAGTATACATTTGATCATGCTGTCCTCTTATCATTTTTCTGATTTGCTGCATTTGATGTGACATGTGAAAGATTTTTGTATTTGTGTCCATGAAAGATATTAACGTATATTTTCTTTAATTTCTTGTCAGATTTTGTATCAAGATCAATCAGGACTCAAAAACTGATTTGGGAAATTTCCCCTCTATCACCTGAATTTGTGCAATGTTTTTATTTTTTCTTAAATACTTGGTAGCATAAACTAGCTAATTTGGTAGATTCACTTTATATGGGTTGGTTTTTTTTGTTTGTTTGTTTGTTTTTGTACTAGGGATTAACCCACAGACCTTCACACTGAGTTACATGCTCAGCCCTTCCCTGTTTTTTGCAGACAGGATTCACCTAAGCTGCCTAGGCTGGGCTTGAACTTGTGATCCTCCTGCTTTGTCCTTCCAAGTGCTGGAAGAAATGCTTAAATTATGGATTTGGTTCCTTTAAACTGGGATGCAGAGCTATGCAGATTTTCTATTTTTTTTTAACTTATCTAAATTTTAATTAAATATTTCTAAGATACACTTTGATGTGAAATTGCCAATCAAAAGGGAACATTTTATTTATTGAGTAGTTCCTCTATATTCTCTCTCTCTCTCTCTCTCTCTCTATATATATATATATATATATAAATCATCTCATTGTCACAAAAATTATATGAGGTGGACACTAACATCCCTATTTTCTTATCCCTGGTGGGGTGAAATTGCCCTGCATTATTTAGCTCTTCTATTATCATCTAACATAGGCTTGTATTGTGATAACACCTAAATCGCACACTTGTGCTAGCAAGAGCTACATGTCAGCTTTCTGTCACTATAACAAAATACCTGAGGCAGGGGGAAAAGGTTTATTTTGGCTCATGGGTTCAGTCCATGATTGGCTGGCTCCATTGTTCCTAGGCTGTGATAAGGCCAGAGGGAGGACATGGCAGAGAAAATTGTTCATCTTCTGGTGGTTGGAAGCAGAGAAAAATAGAAAGAGCTAGAAAAGGTCCATCATGCCCCCAAAATCCACTTCCTTCAACTAAGCTTCACCCTCTGTTCTGTCACCTCCCAATAATGCATCAAATTATGATCACATGATCCCCTGAAGAAAACAGCACCCTCCTGATCCAGTCACTTCCAAAAGTGTTCAACACAATGAGCCTTTGGGCAACATGTTGGATCCCAATTATAATAGACTATAGCTCTGTTTTTGTTCCTTTGAATCTC